CTTATTGCGAAATAGGAGCACTATTTATCAATCTGTAATAAAAGACGTGAGGAAATTCTGTCTTGTTTAAAGACAAAAATTTTTGAGGCGAAATATCCAAAAAGAAGTTTGTAAAAAAAACCATTATTTTGTCAGTAACATTGATTTGACTTGGCTGCACTCTGCCCCATAGGAGAACGCATACAAATTCGGAATTCGTGTGTATAAGCTGCGATTTACCTGAGAATGTCGCACTTGAGGTCGCGCGCCTTTTCACTAAAAGCTAATGTCAACAATAACCATTAGCGATATGGAAAACAATTCAATTATGATCATTGCAGATGGAAACTTTATGTGCTTTATGGGACTGGAATTCGCGGTATTCTGCAATTTACATAACTAAGTAAATAACATAACTAAAAAAAAAAAACCAAAAAAAGTGCGCCGGTTTGGTTTTCTTAAAATTATCTAATAAGCTATTTTCCCGGTACTTCGCTATTTTCGGACACATATCGGTAAAACCATATGGGTTTTTTTCACAAATTCGTTTCTACGGCGGCTTAACAGGCCGAAAGCTGCTAGTTGATCTGTAAACCCCAATAAAGCATGAGCGGGACGAGTTCGAGAGGCACTTTTCTGGCCTCAAATTGACACTAGTCGGTCTTTGAGGAGCGTTTTTAACGATTTTTGTATCTTGATTCCTGATCCATTATTGATTAATATGTTTCTGTTGATTGGAAAAAGCACGAGAGAAATTAATTTTATGAAATTATACACTTCATAAATCAGAATAGCTCGATTGGGTTTTTCAGTGCGAGTGTGTTTTAATTGGCGCGTTGCTTAACATTTCCTACCTAACCGAGTCCTACAATTTATAATAAATAATTAGGTCTGGAATCTTCAATAATTTATTACATGTTATTAATCATACCTTCATTGTATATACTTTCCTGACTGTTTCAATTCGAAATCAAATTTATTCCTGGGTATCAGTCATTTATTGTCTATTTATCAATCAAAACACGTTTCGGTGTATTTTTCCACCATCATCAGTTTTTATGTGCAGCAACAACGCTACACATAAAAACTGATGGTGGAAAAATACACCGAAACGTGTTTTGATTGATAAATAGAGACAATAAATGACTGAAACCCAGGAATGAATTTGATCTGGAATTAATCATACCCTTCCATTTATTTATTTTTTTAATTGATAAATTGAAGAATATTGCTGATATAGAAGAACCCTCTTTTATCTGGAGTATGGTGCAATCAGCTGCAATTAATTGACGATTTGGCAAATGATATATTTTGTGTGTCAAAAACAGGCGATATAATGAGAACATTAGATGGCGCCACACTCTATCGCTCATGTATGGTTCGACATTTAGACAGGTGCCGCTGGATGGCAGCACGAGAATTGCAATTTTTCCAGGCTTGTGTAACATGGCGAAATAACCCCTACTCACCTGGTTGCTAGTGGTGAAAATCCCATGACCCACGTACGCTTTTTCAAGAAGCTACGACCTGCCTTCATTGCGCTTGGCAAGACGTTTCAACAGCAAAAGGTGCGGAAAACCTGCTGACGTGTGTCTTTGCCTCGTTAAATTCACTTTGACTGTTTCGTCCTCTAAACGTCCTTTAGAAAAAATCAGTCCGAGCTTCAGAGTGTTCGCATTCAGACCAAATTCGAAATTTGCAGTATTTTGCCGAAGTAAACACGTAAGTTTGTGAAGAATGAATGCAGCGTGAGTTGGATGATCTTTTAAATTAGTCGTCACGAGTTAAAAAGCTTTTTTTCTGAAGTTTCACTCAATTGAAGTCTTCAAAAAAATTCATTGAATTTTTCTATTTAGTCTTAAGAGAGGGCTGATAAATTAATTGAATTTAACTGTTTGGAAAAGTTCACCTTAAAGGAAAAGTGTACTGGGGTTCATAAGCATATTCTCGGCCAAAGAAGATTAATTTTTTATCTTTTTTGGAATGAAATGGTGCAAATTATGCTACAAAGCTCATTTACCTACAAAGTAGCATAAATCGGGAGAGTAACTTTGGAAAGAATCCAAAATTATTTCGTTATATTTTCTGGCTTCACCAGCTAATTTACATACCGATGATACACGCCCACACTTTCCAGCCTGTAACACTTAGAACCAAAGCCACCACTTTACTACTTTCTTGTTCATTTATGTAATTAAAATTTTAAATCAGGTTCATTCCTGGGTTTCAGTCATTTATTGTCTATTTATCAATGAAAATACACCGAAACGTATTTTGATTAATAAATAGAGACAATAAGTGACCGAAACCCAGGAATGAATTTGATTTGGAATTGAAACACAGTCAGGAAAGTATATGCAATTAAAATTTTATTGTATATTCTCAGACCTTTTCGAACCTGAACATGAACATTTTTACATTTTTTACACATTTTTATATACAGGGTGACTCTTTGATGAGTGAATATTTTAACTGATGACATTTTGATCCTCGAAGCAGGACTTTCAGGTTCGTTTTTTTTACCAAAAACATTCCCTTCTTAACCCCCCTAGATCAGGCGGAATGGTTTTTGGTCAAAAGAAAAATCGAACCTGATAGCTGATGCTTCGAGGGCCAAAATCTACCATCAATTAAAATATTTGCACTCTTCAAAGATGCTTAATGTTTACTGGCAACGTTTAAATAACGTTTCAGTAACATTTCGTTGAGACGTGTCTGAAGGCGGACATTTACACAAACAGAGAGTGCAGATAACTGAAACGTTTCGGGATCAAAACATACGTTTCTGAAATAAAAAAATGTTTTGCGGGTGATTACACATAACAACAGCAATTTTGAATAAACAAGTTGTTTTTTTATTATTAAACCTCAATTCGATAAATGTTTATTTGTGCATTGAAAATATGATAACGGGCGTATCACTTTCGACTTATACACTTTCAGTGACTTCCTGCATCATAATGCACTGCAGTCTTGAGGTTTTAGACAAAATTGTAGCTAGATATTCACGGACATGCTGGAAATTGCCGCAATAACATTCACGATTTAAAACTGGAACGATTAGTGTCTTTGATTTATGTGTACGCCACTGAACTAGGTACAATTTGATAAAATATGATAACACTTTAACTGGGATATAAGCACGTTTAGAGGTTGTTCCACCACAGTGAACTTTGATTGCTACTGAAATCCTCATTAATATGTAAGTAAGCAAAATTAGCTGCAGGTCTTGAGCAAGTGAACTTTTACTTTTAGTGACTTTTCCAGTTCCACTCATACCTACTTGGAATTTCTATTGCGCGCCACTCTTGTAGTCTGACGTTGTCCACTCATTAACCACGATCCACTAGATAGTTTCATAGAGCGATCTGCCATTCATTTCCTGGTCTTTTTACAGTTTACCGTACAAATTATCCAGCAAAATGACCACCCAGTGGAACTACCCCGATCCAGCCCTTCAAGATGAACTCCGCAAGATTGCCAACGCCATTGTGGCACCTGGCAAGGGCATTTTAGCTGCAGACGAATCGGTCTCAACGATGGGCAAACGCTTGACCGACATTGGTGTTGAGAATACGGACGAAAATAGGCGCAAATACAGGTAGGCTGCAGCTACTAAGCCCACCTGGGTCATTTGAAGTGTTCAAATGCTCGGTCTACAGACAGCTGCTCTTCACCACCTGCCCAACCATCGGTGACTCTATTTCCGGGGTGATTCTCTTCCATGAGACGCTCTACCAAAAGGCGGACGATGGCACTCCGTTCCCCGAGCTGTTGAAACAACGCGGTATTATTCCCGGAATCAAAGTGGACACCGGAGTTGTGCCATTGTTCGGCAGCAACGACGAATGCACCACTCAAGGTTTGTTTGCTGGATATTTTGTGTAGGGTTGTTAAAAGACGCGTTTTTGTGCAGGTTTGGATGATCTGGCTAAACGTTGCGCCCAGTACAAGAAGGACGGCTGCCACTTCGCCAAGTGGCGTTGCGTCCTCAAGATCAATGAGCACACGCCCTCCCTGCAGGCGCTTATTGAAAACGCAAATGTTTTGGCCCGCTACGCCTCCATTTGCCAGGCCAACAGGATCGTGCCCATCGTTGAGCCCGAGGTTTTGCCTGACGGTACTCACGACTTGGAAAGGGCTCAGAAAGTCACTGAAACCGTCTTGGCTTTCGTGTACAAGGTATTCTTCTTCTTTCTTCTTAGCGTGCCTTATCCGTCGCGGACGTTGGCTATTAACATGGCAATTTTAATTTTATTGACGGCGTTTCGAAATAGCTGTATAGATGTAAGTCCAAACCACTGGCGTAGATTTTGCAGCCATCAGTGTCTTCTCCTTCCTGGTCCTCTTTTACTGTTGATCCTTCCTTGAGCTATTAACTGGAGTAGGCGATATTTTTGATGTCTCATTATGTGTCCGAGGTATTCCAGTTTCCTCTTTTTAACTGTGAGTGTAATTTCTCTCTCTTTCCCAATTCGCTGCAGCACCTCTTTATTGGTTATGTGGTCAATCCACGAGATTCTGAGGATACGGCTGTATATCCACATTTCAAAGGCGTTTAATTTTTTCATTATGGCTTCCGTCGTTGTCTATGCTTCTGCTCCGTAGAGCAGAATTGGGAACACATAGAAAGAAAAACACAACATACACTTGCTTGTGAATACATCCTTCATGTTGTTGAACGATGCTCGAGCTCTTTCAATCCTTGATCGGATCTCGGTCGTACTTGTATGACTCCAAACGTTCGATCGTCTGGTCGTTTAGTGTAATGCGCTCATTGTGTGTCTGATCTTTGCTCACCACCATCCACTTTGTTTTTGATATATTTAGGCTAAGAC